CTGGCAACTTTTTTCTGTGTCTGTATCTCTATACTCCCTTGGCCTTAAGGTCTGGTACTTTGGCTCAATTTCCTGGCTCATGGTTGATGCTTTGCCATTTGAACCTGGCCTCCAATCTGGCATTTTGCTGGTTATCTGGAGATACAATCTCATGGACTTTCTTGCCTATACCAGTTTCGAATCTTGATTCTTCGTGTCTCAGCCTCCTGACTAGGTGGCATTAGAAGAGCGTGCCACCAGTGTCTACTCCCTTAGAACTGTTTTTGTTTTAATGCCAGTACTGGGGCTTGAACTCAGGGCCTGGGCACTAATGCTGTACCACTTGGAGCCACAGCTCCACTGCCAACATTCCTGTATTTGAGAACTTACTATGCCCCACTGGGAAGCTCTCTGCATATGTTACATAATTTGATCTCACCCAGCACTACTAAGAAGCAGGCTTATTGTCATTTTCATTTGATGGTTGAGAAAACTGACCCATAGAGAGCTAAGGATTATTCTCCCAGTGGCTCACCTGGAAGTGACGAGCTCCATGTTTAAGCCCAGTCTACCTATGTAGCTACATGCAGTGCTACAAATGGCTCTTGTCAGAGATCTGGCCTTCATGTAGAGAGAGGCCATCTCTCAGGCCAGAGTCTTTCATGAGAGTTATAGTTTTGACTTAGCCACTTTTCCTGACAGGATACATCGGTGTTCTGGCTGTGTGAAATGAAGACAGAACAATTCCAGTGCCTTTTTTCTCCAGTTATCCCATGTTGATTTTTAGCTAGTGGAAAAAAAAAAAACCCCTCTCAGCAGTCCCTTTCCTGTCTTCGTGGGAGGTACTCTCTAAGGCTCCTCCTTTCTTCCTGATGGGGCTGCCTATTCCCAGGGAAACAGAGCTCTCCTCCGCCCCATCCTACTTCTCCTGAACTTTGTACTTCCATGATGAAAAATTAACTGAGCTAGAGTTTCCCTACCAGGGACAAAATCTGATCTCTCAGAACAGGTCTGGCTGGGCCCCACAAGACTAGGTACCAGCGCGGAGCTGTAAGTATCTGGAAGCTACAACCCAATCACCACCCTAAATGGTGAGGGAACCTTCCTCAGGGGTATGACAACTCCACTTCAAATCCCCAACTCTTCTCATGGAGAGACAGAGGCCAGAGGAGAAATATCACCCACAAACAGCACTTTTAGACCTGTGTATTAGTCCAGTACTTTATTTCCACATGCCTATGTGGTCCCTGTCACACTGATTTTGCTGGCATGGGAAAGTTTGAGAAAAGGAAAGCATGGTCAATCACTCTAACAAGATGGCTGACGAGTCATCCTGGCCTCTCAAGAAAATGAGAGGGTTGAACAGGTGCCTGTTCCAAGGAAGGCCATGATGTTAGAGGCTAAGTGGCCAGACCCCCACTGAACCTTCTACTCTCTCTGGCCACTCCCTCCAAAGTATAAATTGCCTTCCTTTAGACATTTGTGTACCTATATCTGTGTGTGATGAAGGTCTTGCACTGGAGAAAGATTATAATGCCTCTTTCTCTCTTTCCTTCCTTCCTTCTTTTCTTCTTCTCAGGTCATGGGCACTCTCCTTTTGCTTTTTTGATCAAGGCTAGCATTCTACTACTTGAGCCTCACCTCCATTTATTTATTTATTTTTATTTATTTGTGTACTTACTGCTGGTTAATAGGAAATAACTGTCTCTTTGCTGTGTCTGCCTAGACTGGTTTCAAACTTTGATTCTCAAATCTCATGCTCCTAAGTAGCTAGGATTACAGGAGTGAGTCACTGGATTCTGGCAGTTTCTAATGCTGTTTCTGGACTTGCCACCCCGAACAAAAAGCATTCTTTTGCTCCATCTTTCAACAGACAGAGCAAGATGGAGGCAGAAAGAGCCAGAGTCAAAACCAGGGATGAAGCCAGAGCCTCTTGCACTTGATCTAGCTCTCTCTTAAAGAGTTAGACTTGACGTTCTGGTTAAAATTTACCTTTTACTGGAAGGTCATAGAAGCAGGGACCTCTTCTTGTTTTTCACTGCCCTCTGGAGCTCATTCCAGCCCCTTTTCCTTGAATTTGGGCTCCTTAGGGTTAGGGACCATTACCTTTTCACTTTGGAGTTCCCAGAAAGAAGAAGGAGGGCTGCACCACACAAGTTCTGGTAGATAGATGGCTGTCCAAGTAGGTGGAGCTCCCTTGGCCACACCCCTCTACAGGGCCTCGGCAGGGACCCACATATGGCTGGACTTCTTTCCAGCACTGGGCTATCTTCCAAGCTTTGCATAGTCCTCCAACAAGCCACCATAGGAGGCTTCGAGGAAAGCCATCTGTAGCTCCAATTCACAGGTGAGCAAACATTTGTGCAATGCCACAATAGGGCACCTGTGTAAAGAACTTTTATTTATTTATTTACAAAGAGCTCCCTCATTTAGATCATCCAGCTTTTCAGAACTCGGTAAGGTAGCTGTGTGGAAGGGGTGAGATGACCTACAAAGGCCTCAAGATCACCCAAAACCCCTGATTCAAGTCCCAGCTCTGCCCCTAGCATCCCTGAGAAGTCCCATTATCTGTAAACCTGAGGGCTAAGGACATTTACCTCTAGGGCCGCTGTGAAGAACGCATCAGAGGAAATTTGGGATGAAGACAACAATCAGAAGTGTCCATTCACCCCCTCCTGTCTGCCTGTCTGTCTCTCTTCTACTGGGGCTTGAATTCAGAGCCTAGGTGCTGTCCCTTAGCTTTTTCGCTCAAGGGGGGTGTTCGACCACTTGAGCCACAGCTCCACTTCCAGCTTTTTTTTTTTTTTCTGGTTAACTGGAGATAAAGTCTCATGGACTTTCCTGCCAGGGCTGACTTCCAATCATGATCTTCTGATCTCAGCTTCCTGAGTAGCTAAGGATTACAAGCATGAACACCAGACATCTCTTGTCTCTTAATCATGGCTCGCAAGTGAGGGAAAGGAAGAGGGTCTACCTGGAGGAATTGCTCAGGAATTCTCTTTTCAGAACCTCTAGGTCAGGAAGCTACAGCCCTTGGGAAGCCCAGCTCAGTTCAGTGGCAGAGCCAGCGAGGCCCCTGCTGCTCAGGGCGCACTTTGTGTATTCACAGCCACTCACAGATCGTTAACTCGGCACCGGCCCTTGGTTTGCAGATGACTTCTTTCTCACCATGGGGTTTTTCCTGCTGTTAAAAACAAACAAAGCCTCAGCTACTGAGTTAGCCAGATGGGGAGGGAAGGAGAGTGGCCAGGGGCTGCAGTTAACTCCCCAAAGTCACCGAGGGGCCTGTGGGCAGGTGCCCCGCATTCTGCTAGCGGGCTGTGGGAGCACCAGAGCTTCTCTGAGTACCAGTGTTTCCCAGCTCTCCACCCAGGCTAACTCTGAGTGTTATAAACTTCCCAGTCCGTCCTCCCCCGCCCCCCACCTCCTTCTCCAAGCTTTCACGAAGGCACGGCTTCAAAAACAAAAGATCTGGTTCCTTCTACTTGTTGGGTGTCGATGTCCGCCCCACCCCCACCCCCAGACCCTTTTCTAGCAGGAGATTCAGCAACACCCGGAATGTAAGATTTTTTCCAAAAGATAGAATTGTAAAGCGCCCCATTCATTCCTTCACGAACTCAACAGATGTGTCTGAGGTCTATTTTCTGCCAGGCGTTTGATTTCACAAGGCCCAAGGGACCCCAGGGCTCCAGCTTATTGTTGGGGGGGGGTGTCACTGTGTCCCTCCCCCACCAAGTCTTCACTTTTAAGAGCTTACTTCTCCCCCTTCCCAACTCCCTCCTCCGCACGCCGTCCAAGGGCAATGGCCGGGGTGACCTCACCAAAGAGAAGTTACAAACAGCTCCTGAGTCTTTGGCTTCCAGCCAAGGCCCTGACAGGGCATCGGCTCGCCCCGACTTCCTGGGCTTCGAACCTTCCTGCACCCTCTCCGGTCTTGGGCCCAGATCCCTTCGGGGGGGGGGTGCCCGGACGGTCCCTAGCCGTGCGCTCGACTTCGCTTCGGGTTTCAACCCTCTTCTTCCGCCCTCAACTCCCACGGAGCTTCCCAAGTATGGGCTTCCGAGTGCCCCCAAACTGTGCCCTCCCTCCGGGGGGGGAAGCTCCCCCCTTTCCCAGGACTTCCTCCCCGCGCCCGGCCGACCCGGCCCCG